CCGCGTTTTTTTTAACCGCGGCTTCTTTCCCCCCTGCCGATCTGGCTAATCTACATGCCTCCGTCGAAGGAGGCATGTAGTCTAGACACACCCTAGGAGGTAGACATTTGTGAGGCCAGGGGATGTGACCCTCAAGTTCCTTACAATGCAATATTAGTATGACTAACACGGCTACATTTCTACCAGAAGTGTGATGGTTCTTTTTACAGAGCAAATAAAACATCCTGAGGAGCTTATCCAGCTTAGTAAAGTATATGCCTCCGTCGAAGGAGGCATGTAGTCTAGACACACCCTAGGAGGTAGACATTTGTGAGGCCAGGGGATGTGACCCTCAAGTTCCTTACAATGCAATATTAGTATGACTAACACGGCTACATTTCTACCAGAAGTGTGATGGTTCTTTTTACAGAGCAAATAAAACATCCTGAGGAGCTTATCCAGCTTAGTAAAGTATACTGAAAACGAACTGTTAAAAGAGTTCTAAAAGCACAAATTATTATTTTGAGACAAGATATAAAAGGTGAGAGTAACTAATAAGTAACTTTTCTAAAGGGAGTAAATTTCAATAGGAGCAAACTGCCTGAAGTGAAATTGCCAATAACAATCAATAATAATAGGATATTTCATCAAAATCTTCCAAAAATGCACACAAATACAATATTTTGAGAAAGTTTTCCAAAAAGTCCAAGCTGCTCCTTATGGGCTAGATCCTTTAAGGCTACAAAAAGTACAGATGAGATATAGCATGCCCTTAACTCCCATCAGCCTTGATGCATTCTGAGGCACTCAGTACTTTGTAAGGTTGGGCAGCAAAACCTTTGGCCTTTCCTATGTTGGTGGGGTTAGGCTGGGTCAGGTATTACCCATGTGCAGCAATTCTGTGGAACCACCCTGCAATAATCGATTCCTTTAAAAGAAAACCCCACTCCCTTTTCTGGCTGTGATCCTGAGGGGAAAAGGAGTTCCCACGTAATGATTGTGGTGGTTGAGGGAGATGGGAGAGAGTGATCCAGCCAGAGCTGGGAGGGAGACAGCTCCATAAAGTGCATGCATATGAGGCACTGAAAGAGATTTGGCAAGACAGGCCCCTTGACATGGTTTCTGAACCACTAACAATTGATTCCCCCTCCCCCCCCATTCTGTGTTTGTTCCCTAATATCCTGCTCTCAGTCTCCTGGGGACTGCACACAGGAGATGAAAGCAAAGAAAACCAAACAAGCCATCGGCGGCGCTCACTCGATTGATTTTTACACAAAATTTGCCTTCATGCACGAAGGATGGAAAAATGATCCCATTAATAATGAATAACAAAAACAAATGCAGGGAGGAAATCAATAGAAGCACATTTGATATCATGGGGAGATGAGAAGGAGGGTGGGGAAAAAAACCCTCTACAAGACCAAACCTAGCAACACGGAGATGTATGACTGCTGCATAATGCAGGGGCTGTGTGCTTGGGAGGATGGCTGCCTCTCTGTGTTACACCTGTCAGGGGTATACCCCAGGGAAGCTGGTGTGCAGCAGAAAGTGCTGAACACCTCCCCATCCTGTGTGATATTTATATTTCATGCCAGTACCGCAGACCCAATGAGGGGTGGAATAATGGTTTGAAAAGCAGAAATAGCCTGAATTTGCCTCTGAAATGTGAACTGAACTCTGCTGACAGCTTAAAGATCCAGTTAACTTTCTTTTGTTTTCATTGTCCTTGGATGCTTCTCGGCTTCCCTGTTTCATTCCTGATTGAGAGCGAAGACATACAAGAATAGGCAAGGTGTACCCTAATAACCATGCCAGTACAGTTAAAGGGGTACAGCTCCCCTAGGCTGGAAGCAGCCAAACCAATATAAATAGACCAATGTGGGTGTAGCTTACTGCTGTACAGGAAGAATATTAAGCTATACTGGAATAAGGCACCTCTGTACTCATATAACTGCATCCTCACTAGGCCTTATGTACTTCAATTTTTAAAAAATCACACTCCTAACCACAATATTTATACAGGTACAAAACCAATATAAACCAAGCCATATTCTCTTTTGGGCACAGCTGGAAATAACAGGATTGGGCTGATTTTTAAAGACATTTCTTTCCTAATTTCCAGGTTTGGATGAATGGTGATGTCAGCGAGGCCAGGATTTGGCCCCGGAAAACCTCTAGTGTTACCAAGCTTAGCGGAGCTGCTCCACCTGCTAGGTATGTGAAAGGTTAACTGGTTAAGTGGTAAACGTCACTCCGAACAGGTAATGCCTATTGGTTCCAGTTATCCAGTGGGGGCTGGCGCAACTCCCTACCTGCCATGGCCAGGGGACTGCTCCAACCCGAAGGGGCCGATAGCAGACAAGGCTGCCGTGTCTGCAGTGGGCCCGAGTGCGTTGAATGCGGGGGCTGCTCCGGTCAGGGAGGATGTTTTGAAATCTGTAGATTCAGCAACTGGCTTAGAGAACCGAGAAGCTAGTTTGGCTAAGGCTACATTCTGGGATCCCAGCCCTGGGATGTGGTGGTGACTACGTATGTTGGTAGGCATCATGGCGAAACCCATGGGACAACACTACACTGATTAAGTCCGGGTTTCAGTTAATAAATGAATAACAATATTGCATATATTAAAGCTGATTTGAGCTGCTTTTCCTATGGAAAATTTCTATTTTTAATTAAAAGGTTGTACGTGGAATGTAGTGAAACCAGCACATATTGATACAGCGAGGGGGTGTAACTTGGCCCTACTCAGTCTGAATGAACAGCCAGGCTGATATTTTGTGGGGGCGTTGGAGGCACAGGTGCAGAATGTCCAGACTCAGTGAAGTTCCACTGCACAGCAGAGGAGGCAAGATTTTGGGAGCTCACATAAAGGACTGGAGCAGAAAACTGCACGCACTCCTGGCATGACTGTGTGCAACATGAGTGTGTGCAAAGGGACGGGAGGGGCAGAGCCTGTGAATCCCCCCTCTATGGATCCTACAGCTACTTTCTCAGCTGCTACAGCAGGGGTGGGCAAAATCAGGCGGGTGGGCCATATCCAACCTGTCAAACATCTCTCTCCAGCTTGCCCAAACAGCCGGCAGCGTGTGTTCAGCTGCCCCTCCCTGCACCTTGCTCTGTCCTGCTAGCTATGCAGAGGAGAGGGGAGAGGGAGTCCTGAAGTCAGGGTGTTCCCCGCTCCTGTACCTCATCTGTGCAGGGCAGGGGTCAGGAAGAGGGAGACACAGCGGAGCTGCTCCAATCTGAAGCACAGAAGCATGAATAACGAATGACTCAGAGGAGAGCCTGTCTGAAATTCTAAGATTTCAGTGCTTGTGCTCTCTCTCTCTCTCTTCCCACCATACCTCATCTCTGCAGCACATGGCTTCTCTCAGAAACTTACCCAGCCGTAGCCAACACGCATACTCTCTGTTTCACTGTCACACACACGGTCAGTAAAACACTGTCTCAGTACCACAGATACACACAGTAACTGTCAGACATGCACAGTGGGACACATACCCTCCTGTCTCTGTGCCACGCACATTCAATCTGTATCACAAAGTCTGACACACACAGAGTGTCTCTTTCACACTCACACTCTCTTTCTCTCTCTCTGTAGCCCCCAGCACCTCCCCTTCCGGTGCCCAGAGCCAGCCCGTGACCATGTGCCAAAATTCATGAAGTGCCCCCCCCCCTGTGCTGCAGTGATGAGGGCTATAGAAGTATGCACCCAGACACTTCCCCCTGGAGCAGATGCATAAAGGCAATGGAAGCTACTCCGGTCTGGGATGAAATTAGCAAGCTAGAATGGACCCATTGCTACTCCACAGCCTTGGTAAAAGGCTTTCTGCCTTCCTGACTCAAAGGAAGTCACCAGTGCCCAGGCCAGCTATTCAGGCAGAGAACTTATTCCACAGGGAACATCTCTAATAACAACCATCATCCTTCTTTCCTAGGGAAGGGCAGCCTTCCTGGTGTGATGAGCTGCTAAGCCTGAAATGAAGATTTATGCTGGAAAGCCTGGCCGACCCCACAAGGCAGCGTGGCAAGGCATGGAAATGTAATAACGAAAGCTCATCCCTAATAAAACCAACTTTACAGTTAGCTACACAAGGGAAAATGGGACTTTCTTTTCATGCCACCTGTTGCTTCAGTTTAATCAGTCTGGGGATACTAAGTACATTTTGCTGTAGGCTTCATTTGGGCATTCAGAGCAAACAGCACAGAGATACAATGAAAGCGATACAGAAATGCACTGAGTCAAAAAGGAAATAGTCTAGCACACTGGTATGAAGTGAAAGGAATGTATTTTAGTCTCGCATCTTCCCTAGTTATTTCCAGCTAACTACATTATCAAGCAAGGAAGTGGATTTCTCCTTTCACAGCAGAAGCTGGGGTTCATGGGTTACTTCACCTGGACAGTGTTAGATATAAATCTGTTCCTTCAGCAAAGCAAAGATCTGCATTTTGTTCTGTAAAGCAAATTCAGAACTAGGTATTGCGAGAGCACCTATATAATTCTATTCTATTTTATAGGGGGTTTAAAGCAATAGACCAAAGGAGATGAAAAGATGTGACTTTTTTTTAAATGAATTGAGCCTTTTAAAGCAGTAATAATGCTACATAATCTAGACCGAATATTTAAAAATATTACTGACATAGGCGAAAATTTTCCAAGCTGGGTAACTAAAGTGAATCCTTCTAAGTCTATTGTTACACTTCAGAATAAAAGTAGCCTAATTTTCAAAGGTTCTGAGTACCTGTCTTTCCCCATTGACTTGACTATGGCTGCTCAGCAGAGCTCAGAATAAGATCTCTTATACTAATGCATATGGATTTAGGAGGCCAACTTTAAGGCCCACTTTGGGAAATGTTAGTGTCAATGCATTGTCAAAGTTTACAACAAATACTTTGGATTCTCTCTCCTCTGAATATTTAGCCTCCTTCCCTTCCAGATGTGGTGAAGGTTAATTCATTAGTTTGTAGAGGGTTTCCAGGAGGCAAAAGTAATAACAATGATGCCAATAATTAACAATCCTTTGCACCTATAGAGCTCTTTGCAGATTCAAAATATTGGACCAACCAGTAGTCCAAAGAATATGTCCTGACAGGACCATTGGGAAATAGGAAAATGCTAAAGCCCCTTCAGACAAATGGGGAAACTGACACTGGGTTGAAGTGACTGGTCCATGGCTGCACAATGGTAGAAGCAGAATTAGAAGCCCAGACATCTAAGGGCTCAAATTCCAGGCAGAACTCCAGCTCTGGGACTCCATCTTTAGGCCATTCATGCTGCCTTAAATATGTGTCACCTAAGGGCTAGTCTGTGCAGGAAGATAGCCTGGAATAGCATTCCACACCAGTGCTCTTCTGTGGCCACACTCATTCTGCTGAAAGTGGACTAAGCCACATACATGAATAAGTGTTGTGACAGACTGCTGGCTAGGCCAGAGCTCTGCCAGTGCAGCCTGGCTGAAAAGGCCAGTTACAGCCAGCTGAGCAAGCCCAGGCCTGAAGGGCTAATGGAAGCAGCTGTGGGCCTCGTTAGCCAGAGGGCTATATAAGGTAGCCAGCGGGGATGTGAAAGGGGAGGAGCTAGGATGTGGCTGAGTGTGCACCAAGCCAGATGGTGAGGCTGGTTGAATTGCTGTGAACAAAAGCTCTGTAAATAGAAGGTGGTGGGAAATTGGCACTGGTGATGGCTCCAGAACAGGTTTCTGGTTGATTTGTGACCCAAGAAGGGGTCCCAAGGCAAGGGGCCTGAGCAAGCACCTTGCCACAGTGGGGAGCAAAAGAGTGGAATAAAAATGTCCACAAGAGTCATTGTAGAATAGCTATTGCACTATGAAACATGCTGACTTATTTCACCATAGCTTCTCCAGGTAGGCATGGTCTAAATGCTGAATATTACTATTACTTTATTATTTTGAGGTGCCCGTTGGAAAACTGAGAGCTCATCCAATAGCTCATGGATCCATATTTGGAAACAGCTGTTGTTTCAAGTGATCAAGAAGCAAGTGGTCAGGAAACCCTCCAGTCTAAGCATCTGAGAGAAATCCAGAGCCAGGCATTTCCTCCAGGATTGGAAGTAAGCTAAACATCTTCATCTCTCACAGCCTGATTTGTAACCCAAACTCTGTGGTTGAGCATGATCCTTAATGTGGGTTATTATTTATAAATTATTGAGGAGTGCAATATCTCTCCATTTACTGAGTGTCATAACAAAAGAGCAGAGAGAGAAACCAAGCCATCATCTACCAAAATAACACAGCATTTGGGCAGTGCAAAAGCACTAAATAATTCAGCATCTATTTAAAAGTATAGCATTTTGTAACTTCCCCGGAACCACCTTGGTCTGGATTCATGTAGCTCAGAATTTGGAGACATGCCTCCCAGCTTGCATGTAAGTGCCTCTGTTCTGGAGAAAGAGGTACAGGGAGTGGGTGGGAAGGCCAATCACACTGACAGCATTTACCACAATCTTAAACTTGCATGAATTTGGTGAACCAAATGCACAAGGAGCAGCAAGGCTGGAGGGTTTCCAGTAAGCCCTCTGATTCTTCTGTCTACAGCATGAGAGTTTTGTAAGTTTACGTGTGCCCCCATTTACACATGTATATAATATGCCTTTGGGCCCAGAAGTGGATGAGAGGTTTGCCTGACTAAGGAATAACATATTGGTCAGTAAGATTTTGGAGCAGAATCCTCAGCCTTTTTGTGTCACCCTGGTACATAGCTGAGAATCTGTGACTGTCAGATTGTGGGTGGGGAGAGCATAGAAACAGCTTCTCCTCCAGGTATACTGTGTTAGGGGTGCACCCACAGAGGCTGTTCCAAGCTAGCTTAAGTTAGAATAGCTCAAAGGCACTGGTAACTCCCCAGTCAGGGGTGGGGAACCTTTTTGTGGTCAAGAGCCAATGATTCACAAAAAAAATCAGTCGGAAGGGCCCTGGAGGCTTATCGGCTTGCCCTACCGCTGTCCAGCATGGCTCCCCATTCCAGCCACCCCATGATAGGATGACAGACCAGAAAGTGTCTGACTGCTATATTAAATTGGCCTGTGGCACATAGGTTCTCCTTCTCTAAGTTTTGGGAACAGAAAAGGCATTGTCAGACCCAGCAGTTTTGGATGAAACTTTGGTTTTAATTTTATTAGGGAGAGCACAGAGTGAACTTAGGGGCATTTAAAGTGCCTCAGAACATGTTGTTGGCTTGCAAAAT